TTGCGGGTTCCTCGTTTTGGTCGACTTTCTAGTGGTGTAAGTCAAAGGGTTGGAGTCGTTGTGGTATTGACAACCTCACTATAGTTATCTTAGGTACCACTTCGATCCACAATCAACAAAAGAACACCGGATCAAGTCATGGAAAGAGGATTTCACTTGGTAAACCCCTGGTCCCAGTCTACCAGGTACAGAATCCAATGTCCGACCCTTATTTCTCTCTTTCCCCTCCCCCCCTCCCTCCTTCTTCGTGTGCGCATTGCCTCGCTTCATTGTATGTGTGGGTGAACATTATTCTGCGTAAATGGCCAGCCTGTTGATGTCTCAGAGGTTCGCTGAGGGATACCCCCGGCGTCGAAAAACGTTGGCCGCTGCTTCGTGGCCATTTGACACGGCACGGTCGACGGGAAGTTTCCCACAGGAATCGCGAATGCTAGGATCGGCCCCATTGCGCGATAAAAAGTGGTATCAAGGCAACATTCCCATCGGCCGTAGCTTGATGTAGGGCCGTTACAAGGCTAAAATCCCGAAATAGTTGGTAAGCGAGAGGGTCGCTCTTGAACATGATCTCGTCAACGTCAGCACCTCGTACAACAAGTGCCTCGATGATTGCTAGATCGGTATGCTTGCGTCTCGCCGCGTAATGGAGCGGCTGTCCCGAAACGTACCGAAGCTCCATGACCAAATAGGAGGTTTGATGACTTCCAAACTAGAATTCTGAGCTGCGATCGAGAGTGGCGTTATGTCGTATCCACACCGCGCATTTGGATCGGCTCCTCTGTGAAGAAACCATAAAGTAAGCTCGGGATCGAGGATTTCCCAAGTTACGTTAATATGAGTATAAATATACACCATGGGACTCTAAAGGCACCTACGCCAGGAATGGTGGGAAGCTGTCCGAGATTGGCTTGTTCAAGAGGCTGGCGTCATTATCGAAGAAAGCTTCAAGAATTGAACGCTCCTTTTTGGTCGATGGCTGCACAAACGGCATCCGTAGTTGGCTTGGTTCCTTTTGACAGGAGAAATGAGACGATTGAGGCACAGTTCTGGAGGACGGCGGCTTCCATGGCATCACGTTTGTCCTGTTCTGATGTTCGCATCTCTGGATCATCGCAAAGAGCTTGGACCTTGGAAAGATCACACTCGCTCACGGCTTACACCAACGGGCATTGCGGAGGTGGGAACACTGGTTGTGCAGGTATGTCTGCCAGATCTGCAACATCAGGAATCTCTCCAACTACTGCACCGAACATGGTTACCCAGTATAGAATATGCTCCGCAGTCAGAGTGTGAGGGTATACACAAGGTCCCTAGGCAAGGAGGGTATGGAATACCAAGGACTCGCGGTATAGGGCGGCATCATCTTCCCGATTGAGAGGGGAATTCCCACGTCTTGGCCAAAAGGGATTAGAAGAGTATGTCAGACCGTTGAAGATGGATAGCGACGTGTATTCGAGGCTATATGCGGTGGTGATGACTGCCTGCGGCCCCCCCGGCCCGTATCTGGAAGCCTCCAGCGAGTGATTGGAGAGCGTGCGATATCCCTTGGTTTCGTGTACGTGCCAAGTATTGTAGTTTAGGCACCTGTTCATTACTACATAGCAAGTACTGAGGCAGCCTGCAAACAGTGCCAAAACAGGCTGTGAAATCTTCAAAATTGTGCGCATGCACAGCGTGTAAGACGTCTTTCCACCGCGTTTTGCATAGAGCGTACATATCACCGGCAGGGCCCTTCGCCAAGGATGTATTCATTCGCACCCCTCGATGATGGGCACATTCGAATTCTCGATATCCTTCCTGCCGTTGATGTGGGAGCGGAAATACGATGCGAGCTGCACCACCGCGAATTCGAACCAGGAACATACCACGCCCTCTCATATGTGTGGGGAGGTCCCATCCCACATAAATCAGTCTACATAGACGATAAACCAGTGGAGGTCACACCGAACCTGTTCATGGGGCTCCGGAGGATCCGTCATCCGACTGACAAGATATCTCTGTGGGTGGATGCATTGTGCATCGACCAGAAGAATGACCAGGAGAAAATGTCGCAAGTCAAACGGATGACTGAAATATACGCCAATGCAATGACCGTGTTCATGTGGCTAGGAGAAGAAGATGATGATAGTGATCTGGCGATGGAACTACTACAGTGCCTTGAAAAAATGGTTGCAGGCGCGGTTGCATGGACATCCGGCGGTCATCAAGTGGCATTCTTCGAACCCGGTGCTCCCATCGGCAAGAGCAAGATGGAGTACATTAATCTGGATCTGTGGGGCTTTCTTACGACGCTCAGGATCAGAGATTTCGACCGTCACTGGAAAGCTCTAGGCCCCTTATTTGAACGCCCATATTGGTTTCGAGTGTGGATCATTCAAGAAATTGTGGCAGCATCGCATGCGATTCTCTGCTGTGGCTCCCAGAGGACCAGCTGGAATGCCTTAATGGCGTGGGTTAGCCGATCGGAGGTGCTTCAGCACCTCGACAATCTAGACGAGGCCGACAGGGCCCTGCGCAGAGCAAACGTTTTTTTGAAGCAATACGCCGACCTTACCCACGACATCGCCTTCGGAAAAAGGCCGTCTTTGCTGGAAGGGCTAGTACGACTGCGTCGGTTCCGTGCTACCGATACAAGGGACCATGTTTACGCGATTCTTAACCTTGTGGACCACAAGGGCTTCGAACCAAACTACACTAAGAGGATGCCTGAGGTTTATAAGGATGTTGTCAAATTTGTCATTGAGCAGGATGAGACACTTGACTTTCTTAGTGCCTGCAAGCCGTCTCTAGCTTGGTCGTCTTTGACCGAACTCCAGTCTAAATTGGACTTCGAGGCGGCATTAGCCAGGGCAGCCTTGATCTCCGACCTTCCCTCTCCAAGAGAGAACTCCCCTTTTGATTCTCAGAGCAACGATCTATGGGATGTTCGATCGATGGTCACAAACTTGCAGGAGGCTTTACAGCAAGTTACTGAGTCTATAACGGAGATTGATGCAATATGTGTGGAAACCAATGCATCTAAAAAGGGTGGCCTGGACGATATCGAAAACATACAAAGAGGCTCTGCTGCGGGGAAAATCACTTCCAATCGTTCTAGCATCCAGGACACCGTCGAACACTGCGCTCATTGCATGATGCGGCTCGGAAACTCTATGAAGATGATTTTGTTCATGCTAGATACCTTGGTTCGCGATGAACCACAAGATGCCGTCGACCAGAGTGCAACGATGAGAGGAGCGGAGTTGTTGAAGGAGTCTTTGGCCAAAATTGGGTTGGACTTGCAAGACTTCCTCAACCTTCGGAACATGACATTGACTACGTGCCAAAAGGCCCAAGACTCGTGGTCTCAGCTGCGATCTTGTAGGCCAGATCTCATTCCTCGACACATACTTGGTTCTCATCGAGAGAAGGCCTCGGAGGCTATGACCCAACTTGGCGATGCAATAAACCGATTAAAGAACAGTATTTTTGAGCCTAGTGAAGAGTCCTCCGGCCCAGGACCTGGGAAAGTCGGAGGGACCGGCGATTCGAATAAAGTAGCCACAGCAACTTCTGCTACATCTCAGAATCCCGGGAATGTCGAGAAAGGAACAGAAAACGCGTCAGAATCGCCTGAGGATTTATCCGGCGCGCCTCCTGGGCCTCTCGACGTTGAGAAGACGGCGGGTGATATTTGCTCGAAAGGCAATGCTATTCTGAAGACGATCTCCGAGGTAATTCTTCCCTCATGGGTTCCGGACTGGAGGCAGGGGAACTTGGAACACGGAAATCTTCTATTGAAACGTACCGACAATTGCCACTACAAGGCAGGCGGCAGTAAACCGTACTTTTATTTCCCGAACGATGAAAGTGTCTTAATTGTGCATGGTGTGAACCTTGGACGAGTTCAGACGACGAATCGAGCTGAAAAGGAGTCTTTACAGCCTGCCCTAAAACGTCAGTGGGATTTTTGGGTGACCGCAAGCCATCCTCGCAATGTGTACGGCGGTCCAAAAGATCAGCAAGAAGCCTTCATTCGGACTTTGGTTGCGGGACGGAATGAGGATGGCAGTAAGGGAACTTGCGGCATGACACCTCAGTTGCTGGAGGACATGTTCGACTTGGGATTCGTCGAAACAAATGGCAACAAGGCTGAATCCGAGACAATATCGATGACTGACATCAACTTAGCTTTGGCGCCTTCGAGCAATGAGTTCAAATTCGGCGCTACGGACAAAGGGTTCATGGCTCGTGTTCCAATTTTTTCAGAAGATGGCGATATTGTCGCTGTGCTGCTAGGGGCCAAAGCACCTATCGTACTTCGAAGATACGCAAAGCTTGATGCTTACTTGGTCGTCGGAGAATGTTGTAAGTTATCACTTGGCAGCTTCCATTGGACCTCAACTCACATGCTCGGTAGATGTCGATGGCGTTATGGAGGGTGAGGTTATCGCAGAACTCACTACTGGTGATCGATGTTTGGACGAGTTGGAAGACTTCCGCCTAGTGTAATATGATGAGGCCTGCCGCAGTGCCCGGGAAATGGCTGCCACTTGATTTCTCAACAAGCTTCCCGGCTCTGACACTGCAGGAAGTAGAGCGCGAAATCGGGCGGATGATATGTATCCTACTTTTGCTTTTCCAAATTACAGAGTGTAAAATGTTGATTATGAGCCACGTGCATATATCATCAGCCCTAGGAGAGTCTCCTTTGTGCGTCGAGGAGGCGGGCGAGTTGTTGTAAGTAGTATCACCGAGAAGAAGAAGGCCCTCGAAATGTGTGGCAATCTGACGGTTTCCTTCCGCATCGCATTGAGAGTGTCAAATCTACTGCGATTATTCATTCGATGATGTTGCCCGTTGTCATTAAAATCGAGGTTGTGAGTTGAACAACTTGATTGATTAGGCAAGGAAATCTATCTAGCGCGCCTGAGACTTTGTTGTGTGCAGCGGTGGAAATTATTCGGCTAACATTCCCGATAGGTCAGGGCAACAGAGGTTCCCCACGGTACCTGGCGAGCCAGATGACAAAATAAGTGGCACGCCACGCCATACTAAATACCTAGTCAGACCGTACTATGCTACCCCTATAGAATCCTGAGATACTTTTCTATCACCATTTCTTAGGAATGATTATTTAATATTAGTATCATTATATAGCTTATATACTCATGATTGTGTCTAGGAGAAAAATTCTAGAGTTTTATACTTAAAATTTCGAGTAAAAGAGAGAATGACCTCGGAGTATTTTGGTCATTACTTCGCCGTGCCACTTATTTTGTCATCTGGCTCGCTGGGTACCTGGGAATACGTAGCCGAATGGGCAATTCTAGACTGAATTTCTCCTGGCGAAATGCAACAAGATCGACAAGAGCTTGGAGTGCAAAGGTGTCAGCATGTCCATTCGGGCTATTCTGAAACTTCTTCCGCAAATTGCCACGCGGTCAATGATAGGGAAGCTATAACTAGGTAGACTCTGCCTCCCACAGGCGCTGAGCAATGCTATACCTTTCTGCCCCTTTTCTCCACCAACATCTGCCGCATAATTACTTGTAGCTCGTTACATGATATGGATAAGTGGGCGGGTGATGCATCCATCGTGGTGCGGGACACAAACACATGGTGAGCAACTATGTCTGCCAAATTTTTCACGTCACGACCATTCCCCCACAAAGGTGTTTCCCTCAAGTCCTTAAACAGCAGATATAGATGATTCAGTCCCATCCTCCCTTCGATCGAATCTTGCTCAATTCCTGTTATTCGAATTTCAAAACCTGCAAGGAATTGTTGCAATAAACCAATGCAGTGTTCCGGCGGGAGATGGTCGAACACAACCTCGGTAGCGAATCGACTGGCGAAGCCCTGGTTGATCTCCCTCAGGCTGTCCATTCCCTCGGCGTAGCCGGCCAGTATAATGACCATTTTGTTGGCAAACCGTTCTTTGGTCATGCAGTCGACCAGCTCGTTGATTGCGTCCGTGGCAAAATCTCCTTGGGCCAGCCGATACGCCTCATCGATGAACAAGACTTTGCCTAGAGCTCGTTCCAGGGCTGCTACAACTTTCGGGCCGGTCTGACCCAGAGCTTCCCCGATGATTTCCGAGAAAAAGCACTCCACCACGTCGGATGAGGAGAGGAAGCCCATATCGTAGAACAATTTACCGACCTTGCGCGCCATGGTCGTTTTTCCTGTGCCGGGCGGGCCTTTGAACACAAAGTTGAGCGGGATGAGGTTATGAGATCGAGGATTCCTGCCACACATTCGCATACCCTGAACGCTTTTTCGATAGCCGTCAAACTTTGCTATGACTTCCTTACACCCCACGATGTCTTTGAAACTCTCCTTGAATCTGCTCTCGGAGTCGGACAGCCTGTCGAAATCGGCGTCGAAATCCTCCGGCTGAAGAGCGAGTGGGGTGGAGAGGTCGAAAGAAGGATTCGCTGATATTCGCCGTTGAGAGCTGGTCAGGGCGTGATGGAGAAGGTTGTCAACCTCACCTCCATTCCCAAAATTTGGACGGTCTCGGGCCGCCGCGAGTCGTTGTAGAGCGACGTCTTTGGCTTGCTCAGTGATCGCCAACTTTTGCTTATCCAGCTTCAGCTCCAGAACGCGAGTGAGCTGCTCCATGCTAAAGTCATCGAAACGGAAAGCGTCATCCAGAGGAAAGCGTCGCGCCAACCCAGGGTTGCTGTACTGGAACATCTCTCGCATTGGCTCACTGTACCCTATCAAAACCACGCAGCGATCCTCGCTGGGAAGATTCTGTATCTGTGAGACGAGCGTATCAATCACTGCAATTCGGAACACATCTCCACCGGCATTCCCCCTGTGAGATCGCTTTCCGGGATACAATACGTGGGCTTCATCGATGACTAGTACTTTGCCGAGGGCGGATTCGAGGGCGGACTTGACAGCCTCTTCCGACCAGCCGATATATTGTCCGATAAAGTCGACTGCATTCTTGACGACAATCTCTCCGCTCGAAAGTAACCCCAGATCTGCAAGGATCCGGCCGTACAATTTGGCCACGGTTGTCTTTCCTGTCCCAGGTGGACCCAGGAAGACACGATTGAGCCCGACTCGAAGGGGAGGTTGATCTTGCAACTCCCGTTGGCGATTCATCCGGACCAAAGAAGCAAGACTGCGGATTGATTCTTTGACCGATTCCATTCCGGCCAGCTCCATCATCTCCTTCCACGCTGGGATTTCGTGGAGCGGGTCGGGCGATTCGGTTCCCAATACGTCTTCCTTTGTTATCAGAAAGTCGTCTGGGCGTTCTCCATTCCTTCGTGCTTGGCTTATGCGGTCGAGTTGTCGCCTGCAAACCTCTGAGAAGATAATCTCCAATGATGCGAATCCTCTCTTCCAGTCGCCACGATAGGCTCGATGGATCAGCAAGCGAGAGAATTCTCCCTCAATGCCCCCCTCGATTTGCATTCTCTTCGGAAATCTTTTCTCGAGCAGCTCACTTAGCATGTCTATCGCGTTATCTCTCCCCAGGCCGCTGTCGAGCTTTACACGGTGAGGTATTTCTTTCCCAACGTCTTCAAACTCGAGAAACGAGTCCATCCTGCCTTCCATAAAACACGTATATAGGAAAATGAATTTGCCCCGACTTTTTTCCATCTCATTGCGTAGCTTCTGAGTGTAATCATCGCCATCGCTGGCGTCAGCGAGCCGGTCGGGGTTTGTCATCAGGAAAACCTAGCACTTTGTTAATCTCGGTCGATGTAGACTTCGCAGATATCCTACCCCTGATTGGTCAGGACGGCGTCGAGTCCCGTAAGAATATGTGCTCTCTTCCAGATACTGTCCCGCTGTCGTCTCGATCAATTCATCGCCTGGCACCGCGTGGATGGATATGAGGAAGTGAGCATATAGCCTTGCTACGGCTTCGCCTGGAACAGATATATTAGCGATGCTTCGACTGGCGCTTGGTCAATTGGAAGGAGAGACTCACAGACTTTCTGACGTCCTACAAACACTGCATTGAAACACTCAGATGCTGTATCGACGCCCTGCCTTCGCAGAGTATCTAGCGTGCATTTCGTCTTCAAGAAGTGTCGCTTCACATCCTCGAGATCTGTCATTGCCATTAATCGGTCCAAAAAGATGTTTTCCTCGCCGTTTTCTCTCTTCATTCTCATCCAGTCTAGCCGAGAAGGAGAATTATCCTGGATTTGGTCGAGGTCGACACCTTCCAAAAAAGCAAGTTCCTCATCTGTCGCGTCGGGGAGGGCGACAGATTCGGGAAGAGGATCATTATCATCTCCCGGGCTATTGTTTTCCTCGCTTGCCTTTTCAGTGTCCTCGTCCTCCCTGGTCGGCTTCATCTCCTCTTGTGAGATCTCAAGTTTGATGAGAAGATGTTGCAAGTGCATTTGAAATCCTCGATGGTTTTGCAGAGGGGCTGCAATCAAAGTAAGCGGGCTGCGGATCAAGTCAGCGGGCGGAATGATGAAATGCTGATAAGACGTGTCTAGACAGGGCAGTGGTGCAGTATCTTGCCCTTGGTCCTTCGGTACGGTAGCCTCCAGCGAACCGAGATTTCTGGAGCCCTCTGCGAGAAGCGACCCCAGCCCAAGAATTGCAGCCAGAATCAGATGTTTTTGAAGAATCATTCTAGAATCAACTGGTCCGTGGCCAGCGTGGTCAATCATCCCGACAAAGAGCCCACGGGCCCTCTCTGCTGGTAATTTGAGAGCAGCGACCTGACCTGTGGGCTTTCTGAATAAAGAAGCAATTGCGCTTCCAAGCGACTTGAGTTCATAAGGGTCTCCGGCGTGAAGAGGGCTAACTTTTCCATTTTGGGGCTCAAGGCCGGTTGTTGAATCGGCGAAGAAGGATGAAATTGTATGCCACTCCCTTGAATTGTCTGAACTTTGAAAAAACTTGCTCCAATTGGAGGGGGAGGCCAAGTCGTCTTCGTTAATCTGCACAAGACTAGAAGGACTCTCAACTTCGGTGATGCAGTTTTCAGTCTCGATAGAATGCCAAATGTTGTGGTGCTGAGCCTCTTTGGAGATGCGGTGCACAAGCGATGCGTGATGCTGCCTGTCGACAGGATCCTCATGATTGATGCAAACCTCGGCGACCCAGACCATCTGAGCCGCATGTCCTCCAGTTGATTTCTTCTCGAGCTCCTCTAGCGCAAGCTTACAACTCTGAGTGACTTCCAACCTGTCCTCGTCGATGGAGATCTCAACTTTCGAAGATTCGGTTGGATGATATATTAGTGTCTGATATTGTGTTGCGCTTCCAAGAGTGATGTGCTTCAGTTTATAACAGACGGGCTTGGTCTTTCCGTTAGCCGGCATTTCAAGGACGCGGATCTCGTTCTCGTGTAGTTTCTGATACAGTGACGCCATCTCGAGCTTGAACATGATTACTCGTGCTTGAAGCAATGATGCGAAAAGTGTCCAAGGTCTGTAAGGAAATAGTGGGCTTGCTTCACGAGCCGTTCGTGAACTTTGGAGCCTGATCGAGAGATTCCCCCCGTTTTAGAGTACTCTTGACCGGGGGCTGTGGTTCGGGGCTGCTGCATGGCTTGACAAAAAGGCTCGATAGTGCGTAATCCGGTAGGACGCCATTGGCGCTGGCCGATGAGTCCTGTTTGAACGAATTTTTGGCTACATGAAGTGAGGCTCTTGCGTGGTGACGTGCTGCCTTGTGTTTGGTCGACTCCACAAAGGTTGGATGCAGGTTGGTGTGAAAACCGTAGTGAGTGGTCCGATTGTGGCTCAGGATTCTAATCATTTTTTGTTCGCGCTGCAGCAACTCCAGGGATATTTGCACACCGGTTTTGCGCGCTGGCGCCTTGACACGTCTCGGTGCGAACCTGTAGGGATCTCTTCAAAGTGTGCATAAGGTGTAGCTCGTGGACTTGCGTGCTTGAGCGAATTAAAAGCCCAGGCAACATCACGCCAGGGGCTCAAGACGATAAGGGTTGCCTTGAAGTGACTTGATAGTTCCATAACTGCCTTTGGCAAAGAGCGCCACGACGAGCGGGCAGCATCACCCTAGGCCGGAAGTGGGCTGAGCTGGGCGTCGATTTACCTGCTCTTGGCACTGGGCATTGGTATTTCCACCAAACAACCCGCAACCAAGCGACTCGAAGGTGCAGAGTGGGCGGAGCCATTTGTGTTCTGTGGCATCTATAGACTCTTTTATGGGCTTCAAAGATCGAGCCTGTTTAAGAGACGAGGATGAGAGCACTGACAGCACATCAGGCTCATTTTCTCTTCTCCATCTGCGCCGCAATCTTGGGTCGCTTGTCCTCCCATTCGTCCCATACGATCGAATAGACAGCGGTGTGCCTCCCGGGCTGTTCTTCATGCGTGCCGTTCCTCAATCTAAGGGCTTCTGCCGAGAGGGCCACCTTACCACGCGGAAATACGCGATCCCACCTCGCGATCCCTTCAAACTCGAATCCGATCCTCAAAGCAGCTCTTCGAGATACGTCGTTTCCTGCATGTGATTGCCATATAACGCGGCGCAGCCCTAAACCGCCTGTCGAGGGTGGATCGAGCGTCCAGAAGAGGAGGAGTCCTATAGCATTTGTTGCGACGTGGGTGCGCTGGAACGCTGGAAAGATCATTGCACCAACCTCGGTGACGGCATTGACGGGGTTCGTGGCTGTCAGGGACACAACACCGGCAAACTTTGCGCTCGTGTCCAGTGCCTCCGGGGAGACGACCTTGTCCATCACTGCGAACAGACAGTCTGCAGGGGATGCGTGTATACCCTCGTATACCTTTCTCAAGAAGTCGGCCTCGTCGTTTATGACTGGAAAGGGAATGTACGTAAACATGTCTGGGTAGGTCTTGATCATCTCGACAAAAGGCGCCGTGTGGACACCAGGCTGCCAGCCGAGTCAGATTCTCCCTTGTCCAAGCAAGACGACTTTGACATGGCTCTCGCTGTAGAAGTGATGTGCGGTACATACCTCGAATGGCACGAGGGCGACGAGATCGTTCTCCAGGCGTCGCTGCTCATAGTGGAAAGTCTTCTCGGCCATGACTCCAGATGTCGGCTTCACTGTGGGAATCGCCTGCTGGACAGATTCTGCACCGATTTTCTACATAGTGTGTCTATATGTATCCCACCTTATCGACTTGGTAACAGGTGGACAGGCAAGGGAAGTAGTTTCACGCATGGTCTCTTCCCAGACCCGCTGTCAAGCGAGACTCACCGCAAGATTCGGAGTCTACCATCCATCGACCGATCGACATGGCCTGCATAATACCACAGACGTCGCTACGACGTTGACTACTTGCAACCATGGCAGATGTGCCAACATGGTTGATAAGGAACTTGTCGTTATCACCACGTGCTTCGACTGCTCCCGTCCACTATACGCGCTGGGGAGATGGCGCGAACCCAACAGCAGTCGAGATGACTTCCACGCACTGATTGCTTGCCCACAGGCCGTTATTCTCACTCAACCTCACGCCTCACATCCATTCCGACTCCTTCTTCTCTAGCCTCACATCCATCAAAGCGCATGCCAGCCGACACATCAACTCTGGGCTCAGGCCCACCTCCTCCCACAACGCCTGCACGTCGGTGCCGAGTCCAATGTGTTCGGCTGTCTGTAGAGACCTTGGGTCAATCCAGGGCGCGAGGCATGGCCACACGTGTTGCGCAGTGGTGAAGAAGATGTCGATGCCGACGTCTCCGATCCCCTTGATCTTCTGAAGCTCCGCTCGGATCTTGTTCCGATCCTGGGATGCGGTTTTCACAACATTGTTCAGATCGCCGTCTGCTCGAGCATCAGTCGGGCCGGCACAAAAGGTCATAGGGTAATCTACCCAGACATGAGGCATCATACTTACCGTACTTCTCCTCAACCAGCTCCGCCAGCTGTCCCATAAACGTTGCCGTCTTTTCCCTGCACCATTCCTCAAATTAGAATCCCGATCACAGGCCCTGTGTAGCGACAACTGTACGACTCACCGATAGTGCGTGTATCCGCCCTCCGTGAGCACCTCGGTCCTCTCCTCCCAGCTGCTCTTCTTCAGGACCTCAAGCTTGTGATATCCCGCCTTGATGACGAGGGCGGTCGTTTTTGCCGCAATGTTATGTGACACTCGGGTTGAAGACAATATGGCATTCAAGAGCAGTGCCAAAACGGTGTCAGGAGTTGCCTTGGCTGGCTGTTCAAGGTTGGTGTCGGAGAGAGGAAGGGCGTTGAAATGCTGGAGAAGTCTCTCGATCTTCTGACTATGCGGGCTGCTGATTTTCTTGGGCCTTCCCTTTGATCTCGGGGTCGACTTTTTGTCATCTATTGAACTGTCATTGCGTGCATCCTTGGTGTTGTCCTCATCTGCCTTTGCGACTTGGTCCTTCCTTCGTTGTTTCGTTTTTGGCTCAGTGGATTTCGCCTTGAGAGCCTCGTCGCGTGGTCTCTTGGTACCTGTTTTCTTCTCGTCGACGGCCCCAGCCTCTTGAACTTGGGCTCTATCCTTGGCCCGAGTTGTCACCATGGTGGACTGGACGATGCAATCTCACTTCTGCGGGGGTCGTCGATGTCTGGGTAAGATGCGAAGTCATTGACGTACTGGTGGTCCTGGGCCAGGGATGATGTCACAACATGTCTGATCGTCCTGGGCTTCCTGATTCCCCACGCAGAGATACCCAGGTACTCAATGTGGTCAAACACCGGACCATGCGTACGGGGAAGCGGAAGTGGCTACCACACGTCGCTCACTCAGGCCATGAAGGAAACAAGGCGTCCAATGACATCTTAGCCGGAAAGACACTCCGGAAGGTATTTCTTGTGACATCGCACTAAGAACCAGTCTGAGGTTGCGGTTGAGGACGTCTGGCTCTCATCATGAGTCTCTGGTATTCCTCTGTCCACCGCATACGCGGTTGGAGGGTTACTGGTGCAGCAAACGAGTCTCATCCCACAAGAAAGGCCAACAAGAGGAGTGAAACAACATGGATATTGGTACCTACGCCAGGCTGGAGATGTGTCAGGGGTTACCCGCTGAGTGATTGGCCGCCGTTGACTCTCGGTAAGGCTGTATATTCTCCGACTGGGGACTTCTTGCAGATCAGTCACCAGAAACAGAAGGACGACCGTCGATCTGACATGTCGATGATTCCCACAGCCTTTCGACACCTTTCTGGCACCGCTGGTACTTCATCATTTACACAATCTTGACGTCAACACGCGATCAAGAACTGAAGCTTGACTGCACAGAGGACGTGGAACCCTGAGGAAACAAGCAACAGGCCGATTCTGCCACGACGCTCTCGATGGCTGGAAAAGTACTCCGCAAACAACACCTATTCAGACCCATCAGCGCCTTTATTCCTGGAAGACCCTGTCCAGTCCACAATTGTCAGTGACATATACAGGCACCAGGTGGAGGAAATGACACCAAGTGGAACAAAGTCATGACGTCAAATTTGCGGTGACAAGTCGTGAGGCTGTCTGTCTATCTATATAATAGACTTGTCTTTCTCTGCTGTTACTTATCGAAGCAAACCTCTCAACAAACCATCCACTTGTGAAACTCAGAGCTCACATACATATACACACGCATCAAACTCAAACCACACATCACCCCTCCAAAAATGACCGACAACACAAACCCCGGAAACTTCGCAAACCGCCCCAAGGAGGAGGTGCAGGAAATCGCCTCCAAGGGCGGCCAGGCCAGCCACAGCGGCGGTTTCGCCAGCATGGATCCCGACAAGCAGGTGAGTTTTGTACTTTCCGTCATATATCCCCTTTTGACCTTTGCCATTGGTTCACGCTTGTGATGCGGAATCTGTGCATTGTCTTGTCAGACATCGTCCTTGGACTGAGTTGAGCATGAACTGACGGGTACCGTGTCATTTGCAGCGAGAGATTGCCTCCCAGGGCGGTCAGGCGTCGAGTGGATCGTTCGAGAAAGGAAGTGAACGTGCCACTGAGGCGGGTCGCAAGGGCGGCTCTGCTACGGGCTCGTCCTAGGTTGTGCAGTACTCGCACAGGAACAGAAAGACAGACTACTATCATGGCAAATGTATCGATGAGATGCGGAGAGGTGTCTTGCCGTCACTTGGAATCAACAGTTGAATCCATTCGATGCAGAGAATCAAGTCTGTATCTGTATATGTATCTAGATACGACCAACACATCCACATCCTCCACGGGAGAAATAGGGTCAACCTCAGCAGCCTGAGGCCACAACAGCGATACAGCTTGATATAACATTCCAGTTTCCAGTGTTTCCTTCCATTCACCTTAGTATCTACAAATGTAAATGTACTATGATAACCGTAGCCAACACACACATACCACAATAACCGTTCGCTGTATTCGGTACATACCATAATCCCCAATCAAAGGGCTTTGAAAACCCCATCGGTCATGAATAACCGTTCACCCAGCGTATCCTGTTCTTTCTGGATTGATCAATGTGTCCGGACAAACCCGCCCCATGGACAAATTACTTGTTGCAAGAAAAAGTCGCTTGCCATCCTGACATGTACATGCAACGCTCGAGCAAATGATGTACCACCCCTTCTCTCTCTCACCAAAAAACACACACACAAAAAAAAGAGTCATAACGAATAAAAGAATATCATTGGAAAAAAAAAATGAAAAGCAACAAATCCTATTTACTACACAGGCAGCATATTATGATTCTGCGTATGCGCTCTTCGCCCGCAACTTCTCCCCGTACCGTCGAAAGATCAGCGGTGCCGGCGCCAGGAGCAGGCCAGTGCACCCGAGCAGGGTCATGGTCCAGTGAACCCCGATCCCCGTGTACATGGGGCGGGCGGCGATGACCATGGACCCCGCGACGAGGTAGCGGGCCATGGTGATGCTGGCGAGCGCGACGGCGCTGTGTTTGGTGTAGCTGTCGACGATGTACTCGTAGGTGGCTACGTAGAGGGCGGTGGCGACGAGGCCGAAGCAGAAACAGGCCGCGAGGCCCGACCACACGGATACGCTGGCGTAGTTTGTCCAGCCGAGCCAGAACAGCGACACGGGCATCAGCGGCGCCGTCACGATCGCCGGCCACAGCCGGTACTCGGGCGTGATCCGCGCTTGGGGAACGTAGTGCGTGTGCACGCGTGAGAGGTGGAAGAGCCCCGGCGCCGACAGCGTGAAGAAGCTGGATCCCGCGGCGATGGAGGCGAAGCACGACCCCGTCAATCCGTCGGATAGACCGTACGTCTCCTTGAAGATGTAGTCGAAGCCGGACAGGAAGCTGAACATGAGGATGTACACGAGGATCAGGTATCCACCCAGCACCGCCACGACGGGCTCGCTCGAGAAATAGATCACCGTCATGGGCAGGGTCTCGCGTAGCCGCTTGAGGAGGGATGCTCTCTCGGCGTGCCTCGACACGTACATGGGTGAGCCGGATACACGGCGAAGATGACGGGCTTTCCAGTCGAGCAGAACCGGGAGGTATGTCTCGGGCAGGAAGAGGAGTGCCACGATGAAGGCGAAGCTGGAAATGATCAGTGTCACCCAGTCAGTCCAGTGCCAACTGAGGTTGCGATTTTGGACCAGCCATCCTCCCGCGACGGGCGCGAGCATGGGAGCTGTGCCATCCGAGTTAGCAGTCGAGCTTGAAGAGCAAGTAAGGTCCCTCCTTACCAGCAACATTTGCCCACGCGATGACGGGGAAGGCAAACGCCCTCTTGACGGGGCGAAACTGATCACTCACACTGGCGCCGTTGATGCCCAAAGTGGCACTGGCAAAGAGACCAACAAAATATCGACAAACGATCCTTCCCCCAAGATTCGATGTCAACGCCGTCCCGAGCACAAAACACAGATAACAAAAGGTCGCGGCGAGGTACGTCGGGCTCCTGCCCACGGTCTCGGACAGCGGGCCGCAGAAGAGGCATCCAGATCCGATCCCCAACAGGTACAGCGCCTGGGAGAGGTTGGCTGCGACCTTGCTCACGCCGTAGTCTTGGCTCATCCGCGAGTTTGCCATCGAGTCTGCGGCGCTGGCCCACCCTTGGGAGAATATGAGGAGGCTCAGGATGGCGATGTTCTTGCACCTGGCGAGGAGCGGCCAATTGCGAGGGTCGATGGGGTCACTGTCGTCTGTGGTGTCGACCTCGATCTTGCCGTCCGCTCTGGTCCTGCCGTTGTCTGGTTCTGTGCGTGCTTCGGAGGATTGCTCTTCGTTGACACCATCGGATCTGTTCAGACTTTGTTGTGTAGATACAGCCTCGAGATCTTGAAACGCACTCTGCTTATTGGTGTGGCCCTGCTTTCCTCCATTCTTTTGCCATTCGTGCTCGACCTGCTGGCCAATCCGTCGGTATTGCACCAAGGACCACATTTGGATGGACACATTGGACTCATTGGATAAGGAATGTCATAAATTAGGCACGTCAGAGCAGTGAGTAAGCCGCATCCGAACAGAAGACGACAATTATGTCGAGCTTGGTTTAATAGACGCACGTACGATCAAAACATCTTGCTCAATACTAGCTATTTCTGACTCCGGGTGTTTCGCGGCGAGGGTGTCGCGTGAGCATTTTCCCTCTTTGTACGTTTTTTGCCCAACGGGGATCTTCGCACCAAGCACCACAAGCGTCTGTCGTGTGACGTCAAATTCATGGCGGATCAAGCAGAGGAGTAGTAGCAGGAGAGAGACTGATTGGAAGGCCGGGGCTTGGTCTGGTTTCCCCGTTTTCCTTTTGCTCGCAGTCCTCCTTTTGTGCTCTTTGATATGGTCTTGACATCATAAGACGAAGGGTGTAGCGCGCCTCTTGGTGATCTTTCACGTTCTTACATCTGAACGTCACGATGGGGTTCGTGTGTCGCCGAGGAACGTCAGGGCGATCTATTTGGTCGAATCTGGTGAGAGATCGGTGTAGATTCTGGGGGTTCGAGGCAAGGTCGCGCGTGAAGAGAAAAAGTCAAAGGGAAGATGGAATCGGACCGCAGCCCTACAACCTTGACTTGACTTCATATTTGGACCCAAACCCAATTCTGGACTCCCATGCATCATCCTCATGTAATGTCTACCATGTACAATTTCAAGGCGAGATGTTTCATCCTGGCTATTACTTGGATGGTGCTGGGTCTGGATGAGACCACGATGGGCGACGTGGGAGTTAGTAGCGAAGGAGATGACCTCCAGGCGGGAAGACCGTGAAGATGATGGATGAAGTGAATCCAAGGAAACGCACGCTTATCCATAACGTCGGGATTTTCCAATGCTGTCAGACCTCTGAAATTCTATGCATTATTGTTCTAATCGCTTTGCTTGTCCCCTCCCCTTTTGTCCCAATTTCAAAAGTCTACCCTTTGCTGAATGCTAGAACACAACGGCGACGTGGGCAGCAGTGGGATGGATACACACACTCAAGCGAACTCGACCGTGTTTCGCAGCGTCCCGATCTTGGAGATTTGCACTTCCATCTTCGTGCCGGGGACGAGGTATTTCGGCGGTTTCAAGCCGGAGCCGACTCCTGCATAGCCACGTTAGGTCTAGGTCAGTATATGTGACTT